AAAAAATTTATATCTTTATGTTTGAAGCCTGAAATGTGGCAAAAGGTTGAAAAGTTCAAGGGGGCCGAATACTTTCGCAAGGCACTGTATACCTGTATATATATATTTTTTACATTATTTGACCATCAAAAGATGGAACCCCTAATCAAGCTGTAGATACAGTGGCTATGAAAAGTATCGACCTCTCCTGGACTTTGTTGAATGTGTTACAATTTGAAATGTTTATGTAATTGGGACTTTTTGCCATTGCTCCACACAAAATATTCTATAATGTCAAAGTGAAAACAAAATTCTATAGATCCTCCTAATTTAATTATAAATATAAAAAGATTATATAAAAGTAACTGATTCAATTAGTTTTCATTCCCCTGAATCAGTATTTGGTAGAGGGCCCTTTGGCAGAAATTACAGACATGAGTCTGCTTGCTGAATGTACTTACTAGTGGAATATAGCACAAATCAGTAAGCTACATACAGTATACCATGGGTTAAAATGAAAATTGGGGTAATTAATTATTTGGCTGACTTGAAGTCCTTTTAAATCTCTCATGCTGCATTGTAGTATTCAATGGATCATTTGCACTTCTGGTGGAGAGAACAGCATTTAGAGTAACAAGCTGACAAGATTGGTAATTATGGTGTAGCAAGAAAGACAAGACTTCCTTGTCACATGATAGCATAGCCATTGCCTAAAGAAAATGACATTTAAATTAAACCCTACAATGACCCTTTTCACTTCTTCCCCACATTTCATTCAAGAATTGGTTAAACAAATTGATTAAATTAATAATTCATTGTAGACTAAATATAGGAATTCACTTGTCCTGTTTCCCCCTAAAAAGTGCAGTATTTTGTCATATCAAAGGTGGTTAATAAATGTATTTTCTTTTGGCAGGAGTACCATATTTTATTATTGTGTGGGACTTTGCCTCGGTATTCTTTCTATATCAGTTCTAACAGTGTTCATGCTTGAACGTTTTGTGCCAAAGGTAAGTAGCAGCTTTAATATCTTGTTATTTTTCAAACATCTAAAAAATGAAACCAGACAGCTAATATATTTTAGTATCCAGCAGTTTAATGATATTTGTCATTTTAGAAGGAGATGTTACATCTTACCATAAGAAACATTTGTAACCCAAAAAGAAAAGTTGAGCACCTTAATTAGTAAAAAAGTATTTTAAAAGTCTATGTTTACTATTTAAGCAATAATGTATAGCAATAGCAATTGTTACGAGCAACAAATGGACTAGGCTTCTATTTCTAAAATACTGTCAATGCATTTCTGTTCTTTCTAGGGTATATTTGTGTTTTTGTTCTGTGTAAGTTCTGCTTTGACCTTCTTTGGCATCCAACATCTGGTAATCCACTGGAATGACATTATACCTTTTTACTGGAGATATGTAGGAGGTGAGTAAGGATTACAGGTTTGATTTGTTATCTACTGAGTTACAGCCAGTGTGCAGTTAGTGTTCCAGCATGCGTTCTTAGTTTAATGAGTTCAGGTGGGTAACTGCATCAGCTTGCGTAGTCTGCAAAGGAACAAATAATAGGTTTATTCCATGCTGAAAAGAGAAGAGAGAAATCACAACGTTTCAGCTGTGAAGCCTTCTTCAGGTGTGAGAAAGACAGTGCAGACAGCAAAGATTAAATAGCACAGAAGAACAAAAGTTGGGAGAGGGGAGGTGGCAAGAGGGGCAGAGATGCCACTCAGGAAGTGCGAAGTGCAGAAGGGTGAAGAACTTGAATTTGAACTTGAATTTTATTGCCATGTGTAACCAGTACATGTACTGGTACAATGGAATTCTTACTTACAGAAAGCCTCTCGATTGTTAAAACAAGTGTAAAAACACAAAGTGCAGACAGTGCATCAAGACAATATACAAACAAACAGTAGACAATGTACAAGATAACAAGTAAACAGTTTGAATGTAAACAATGCAGATACAGTATGTAAACAATGACTAGAGATGTGCAGTAAATAAGAAATCATAATGAGGTAGATGGTGTACATGTGGTCCTTGGGGCTATATGTTGCACTGCTTATGGATAGAAGCTATTGACGAATCTAATGGTAAGTGTCTGTATGCTCCTGTATCTCTTACCTGAGGGCAGTGGGGTGAAGAGCTCATGCCCGGGGTGGTGATGGCCTCTGTGATGGCCAGAATTCTACCATGGCAGTAGTCATAATAGAGCTGTTTAATTTCGGTGATGACACCACAGGCGATGATCTTCTGGGCCTCATTCACCATCCTCTGCAGTGCCTTTCTTTCTCGAGAAGAGGTGTTGCCGTACCCTACGGTGATCACATTGGTGAGGACGCTCTCGATGGTGCAGCGGTAGAAGTTCACCAACATAGGTACTGGCATCCCCCATCGTTTTTGAGGCACCTCAGGAAATAGAGACGCTGCTAAATCTTCTTCAAGATAGAGCCCGTGTTCACAATCCAGGTTAGATCATTAGAAATGTGAATTCCCAAAAACCTAAAGCTGGTGACTGTTTCCACTTCCGTTCATTCAATACTGAGTGGCCTGTGAGTGTGTGGCCTTTGTCTCCGAAAGTCCGCTATTAGCTCTTTTGTTTTATTTACGTTCAATTCAAGGTTATTGCTATAGTATTACACCACCTAAGCAGCTGTCCGACTTCATCCCTGTAAGTGGACTCGTCATCATCGCTGATCAGGCCTATTATAGTGGTGTCATCCACAAATTTAATGATGCGGTTGTTGCTGTGTCTTGCTGTGCAGTCGTGAGTGAACAGGGATTACAACCTTGGACTCAGACAGCAGCCTTGTGGGGTTACAGTGTTCACGGTGAGTGGTGTTGATGTTTTATTACCTATCCGCATCACCTGTGGTCTCTCGATTAGGAAGTCCAGCAGCCTGTTGCAGACAAAGTTGCACAGACCTAATCCCCTGAGCTTTGTCACCAGTTGGCTGGGTATGATGGAATTGAATGCTGAACTATAGTCCACAAATAACATTCTCACATGCAGAGCTAGGGAGACAACATCATCCACTAATCTGTTGTTCTGGTGGGCGAACTGCAAGTGGTCCAGGAATTGAGGAGTTGATGTGTGACAACACCAGCTTCTCCAGGCATTTCATCACCACAGACATTAATGCTACTGGGTGGTACACTTGGTGTCTTCTCAGCAGTGCCCATGTTCAGAGCATCAAAGCAGGCATAGAAATGGTTACGCTCGTCAGGAAGGGATTTTATCTTTTATTTTATATCGAATGTCATTGTTGAACCACGGTTTCTGATTTGGAAATGTCCTAATTTTCTTTTCTGGTACACAAATGTCAGTGAAATATTTAATATAGCTGGTGGCTGCATCCGTATACTCATTTAAATCTGTGTCGGGAGCTCTGAATGCGTCCCAGTCTGTACAGTCAAAGCAGTCTATTAACCTGCTTTCCACGTCCTCAGACCAACAGTGCACTGACCTGTTCACAATGGGAGAGGTCTTCAGCTTCTGTTTGTAGTCCGGAAGCAACAGGAGAGCGATGTGGTCCGAAACTTGACGAAACTTTCTTTGTATGCTCCTTTTATTGTTGTCTAGCAGTAGTCCAAAATATTGCCTCCTCTTGTCAGTACAGTGACGTGCTGAATGAATTTTTGCAGTAGTTTCCTCAGATTGCAGTGGTTGAAGTCCCCGACTACAATTGAGACGGCTTCCAGGTGGGAGTTTTCATGCTTGTTGATAATGTCATGGAGTTCGCTGTGTGCTGTTTCCACAGAGGCTTGAGGTTGAATGTAAACAGATGTAATAATTGTGGCAGAAAACTCCCTCGGCAAATAAAAGGGTCGACACTTTATGGTCAGGTGTTCTAGATTTGGTGAGCAGGATTTAGAGATTACCTGCACGTCAGTGAAGGCGTAAACGCAGCATTTCCTCAGGTCCCTTTCCGCATTGACCCGACAATGTAGCTCATCTATCTTATTGTCCAGTGGTTGAACATTAGCTAACAAAATAGACGGCAGCAGTGGTCAGTGCGGACGCCTCCGTAGACGTGCTAGTATGCCGCCTCATCTCCCCCGGCGCCTGTCCACCTGTTGTTGATGTTCGCCGCATCTTTGTCCGGTTCGGCAGGTGGGGTCCAGTATGTGAAAAAAGTTGTTTGAGTCTGTCTTCAGGTTTAAAAGTGTTTGTCTGTCATAAGTAATGATAGCCATTGAGCGTCAAACACAAAACAAGAGTATTAACGTATAAATAAACATTAAAACAGTCACACAACGAGAGAGCTTTCTGTAAACTGTCGCCATCTTGCCGGCGCCGGAACTGAACCGGAAAGGAGTGAAATCAAAACCTGCATGAAAATAGAGAAAATTACATGAAAATAAGTTGGTCGTTGAGAGAAGGGGTGTGGTGTGAACCTAGTTTAAGGATGAGGTTCGTTTCTGAGAAATCTTTCATCTTCACAGCCCTTACATATTCTCTGAAGTGGCCTCCTAGTCTCCTTCCGGTTTCCCCAATGTAGATAGCTGGGCATTTTTTGCAGGAGATACAGTAAATGAGGTTGCTGGAGGTACAGGATGTCGTCTGAATGTCTGAATGAGCATGTTGTTAGATATGTATTTGCAGGTGATGCAGCGAGTTCTGTTGCAGGGGAAGGTGCCTGGGGGGGGTGATTGCCGAGTGCGGTCAAGGGAGCTGTAAACTAGAAGTTTATGTAGATTTGGTGGTCGGCGGTATGAGATGATTGGGTTGTTAGAAAAAAGGGTACTGATAGAGGGATCGCCCTGTAAAATGGAGTAGTTGTTAATAATGGTACTGGGGATCGAAAGTGTTAGAGTTAGAGTGGTAGGGAAGCACCAAATGAATGCGGTTGTGAGACCCAGGAGTTCCTTGTTGAGTTGATGATCCGAGGGCTATTTTTGGCCCGGGTGAGGGCCCTATCGATAACATGGGTGGGGTATCCTCTGTTGATGAAAGAAGAATACATTTTGAGTGCTTGGTTCTTGAAATCTATGCCCTCACTGCAGAGTCAACGTAGCATGAGAAACTGTGAAAAAGTGAGAGAGTTTTTGGTGTGAGTGGGATGAAAAGAGCTGTACAGGAGATAGTTGTGTGAATCTGTGGGTTTGTAATAGACCGAGGATAAGAGTCGTGGATGGCTAACACAAATTTATGTCTAGAAACAGAAGAGTTGTGGAAGATATGTTAACTGTATATTTGAGGGACGGGTGAGAGTTAGTGAATTGATGCAGGAAGTGCTCTAGCTGGTCATAATTGCTTGTAGCGGCACTGATGCAGTCATCGATGTATCGCTTGTAGAGGTCAGGGACAAAGCCAGTATAGGAAGCAAAGAAGTATTCTTCTACCCAGCCAACAAAAATATTGGCATAGCTAGGTCCCATCCTGGTGCCCATGGCGACTCCACTAATCTGCTGTTAAAAATGGTTATTAAATGAGAAGGCATTGAGTGTGAGAACTAGTTCCGCAAGACACACTAGAGTGTGGGTGGGTGGATCAAGCACTGTGCATTTGTCTAGCATGTTAGCATGTGCTGTAAGACCGTCATTTGGGGGAATGATGGTGTGGAGAGATGTGATATCCATCCATCCAGTAGCAAAGGTCTCAGTTTTGTTCCAGTTCTCAAGAAGCTGAACATCCCACAAACCCAAGTTGATCTCAACTGTTTTTACCTCAGGATTCAGCTCAAAGCTCATTTTGCTGACGACTCCTCATCAACGTTAGCAGACAACAACCTGATCACTGATTCCATTAACAATATTAATCCTAAACGGAGCTCTTGGACTCCCCATTCTAGCCGTTTCCCACCAGTTGATTACTTTATTAACCCATGCAACATTCAAGTTCCCAATACCCTTTCCACACCCAGGAAACACAGGTCTAACCTCACCCAAGGAGAAACTCAGGCACTCCAATCTCTCCACAACAGGGATGATATTGTCATCAAACCAGCAGACAAAAGAGGAACTGTTGTGGTGTGGCAAAAAGACCTGTACATTAAGGAAGCCTCCAGACAATTAACCGATACTTTTGCCTACCGTCCTCTCCAACAGGATCCTACCACTGACTACCAGAAAGAAGTAGTATCCACTATCTCTCTTCTTATCAGCAACCAACCCCAATTCTATCTCCTTCCCAAAATCTACAAACCCGATACCCCTGGACGCCCCATTGTTTCAGCATGCAGTTGTCCAACTACACCCATCTCTGCTTTTCTCGACAGCCTTATGAGACCTCTGGTTGAAATGCTTCCCTCATATATCAAGGATACTAACCATGCCCTCCAACACCAATGCCCTCCAACATGCCGTCTCTCTACACCATTATTCCCCACTATGACGGGCTTACAGCCCTCAAGCACATGCTAGACAAATGCACGGTGCTTGATCCACCCACCCACACTCTAGTGTCTTGCGGAATTGGTTCTCACACTCAATACCTTCTCATTTAATAACCTTTTTTATCAGCAGGTTAGTGGAATCGCCATGGGCACCAGGATGTAACCTAACTATGCCAATATTTTTGTTGGCTGGGTAGAATGCTTCTTTGTTTCCTATACTGGCTTTGTCCTGACCTCTACAAGCGATACATCGATGACTGTGTTGGTGCTGCTACATGCTCTAATGACCAGCTAGAGCACTTCCTGCATCAATTCACTAACTCTCACCCGTCCCTCAAATATACAGTTAACATATCTTCCACAACTCTTCTGTTTCTAGACATAGATTTATGATTTAACCATCCACGACTCTCATCCTCAGTCTATTACAAACCCACAGATTCACACGGCTATCTCCTGTACAGCTCTTTTCATCTGACTCACACCAAAAACTCTCTCCCTTTTTCACAGTTCCTCAGGCTATGTTGACTCTGCAGTGAGGGCATGGATTTCAAGAACCAAGCACTCAAAATGTATTCTTTTTTCATCAACAGAGGATACCGCACCCATGTTATCAAAAGGGCCCTCACACCGGCCAAAAATAGCTCTCGGATCATCAACTCAACAAGGAACTCTCGGTCTCACAATCGCATTCCTTTGGTGCTTCCCTACCACTCTAACCCACTTTCTATCCCCAGGACCATCATTAACAACTACTCCATTTTACAGGGCGATCCCTCTATCGGTACCCTTTTTTCTAACCACCCAATCATGTCATACCGCTGACAACCCAATCTACGTAAACTTCTGGTTCACAGCTCCCTTGACCGCACTCGGCAATCATCCCCACCAGGCACCTTCCCCTGCAACAGAATTCCCTGCATCACCTGCAAATACATATCTGATAACACGCTCATTCAGAGCCCCTCAGGTCAATTCCGGATAACCCAGACGATATCCTGTACCTCCAGCAACCTCATTTACTGTATCTCCTGCAAAAAATGCCGGGCTATCTACGTTGGGGAAACTGGAAGGAGACGATGAGACCGTTTCAGAAAACATGTTAGGGCTGTGAAGAAGATGAAAGATTTCTCCAAGCCCATAGTTTCTTATTTCGCCTCAGACGGCCATGAACACACTGATCTTTCTGTCTCTGTTCTCAAAGAAGGGTTTCTCAACTCCCATAGCAGAAAAACAACAGAAACGAACCTCATCCTGAAACTAGGTTCACACCATCCCACTTCTCTCTCAATGACCAACTTATTTTCATGTGATTTTCTCTATTCTCATGCAGGTTTTGAGTTCACACCTTTCTTCACCCTTCTGCACTTCACACTCCGGAGTGGCCTCTCTGCCCCTCCTGCCTCCTCCCCTCTCCCAGCTTTTGTTCTTCTGTGCTATTTACTCTTTGCTGTCTGCCCTGTCCTTCTCACACCTGAAGAAGGCTTCACAGCTGAAACATTGTGATTTCTCTCTTCTATTTTCAGCATGGAATAAACCTTTTACTTGTTCCTTCTTTGTTTAATGTTTAATGTTTTTGACAATACTTCTTTTGCAATTCTAACATTTAAACTGTACTCTACTAAAGAGTATACAATGTAATACACAACAAAAAATAAGCAACTTTGTTGTAAGTTAAATCATGGTTTTAGCACAGCAAAACAAGGTCTCATTTATCTCAGTGTTATAGAGGATGGCCCATATAAACCATGTGAGCTTTTATTATCTATATTATTTTTAATTATTTATTCTTCAGATCTTTTAATGGTGAGTGAAATTCTGAAGAACTTACCACGTAACATTCATTACTTCTGCTGAGAACAAACCACATTTAAAACCCATCTACTAAGGCAATGGATTTCAAACTATAGTGCACATACTCCAGTGGTGTGTGGAAAAAAATCCTTAATGGCTGAAAAATTAAATAAAAATGACTTCAACTTGTCTCTCCACACAAAATATCAGAGTCTGTTTCTGGAGTTTTGCCACAGTTCTTAGAGGCAGTTTATTGTTAAAGTACTCTTGTTTTGTAAAAATGACTGTTCCGCATAGATAAGGAGAAAAAAGAAGAGGAATGATACTAAATTAAAAAATGGAGAAAAGGGTTGGGCTTGCTTAAGGCGATAGCCTTTGTTAAATTCTGATAGTTTGAATTTGTTCAAACTAGTTTAGCAGCAAAAATAAGTTCTGGTAACACCCGGTTACCAGACCACCTTCATAAGGTTTTAACTAAATAAATATGGATTTATGGCTAAAAACAGGGAAATAGTCAGGGGAGAAATATTATCTGGAATCTCCACCTGCCATTGCCTGCAATGAAAATGGGGACCTAATGTTACAACAGAGAGAAATAAAAGGACAGCAACAAACTAAGGAAAAACATGGGGACCAATTGCAAAAAAAGGGAGAAAAAATCTTAAATTTTATGACAGTTGTATGAAACTGGGATTTACATGGATTGGCGAACCCAAACGTCATTAGCCACAATGTGTGACATGACAGAGCACTCCTCAGAGGCGTTTCAGGAATAAATAGGGAACTGTGAAAAGAGGATTAATTGACCATTTAATGCCTGATTGGTGGAGGGAATGATGACTGAATGGTGGCTTGACTGAATCCTGAGAGGCAAAGAATGACAGTAATATCATGGGGAATATCATGGCCATATCACCCTGCAACTCACAACTGGCAGCTCACTGAAGGTAAGCAGGTGTGAACCAGGTCAGTACCTGGATGAGAGACTTCCTGGGGAAAATTAAGGTTGCTGCTGGAAGAGGTGTTATGGGGCCAGCAGGGGGCATTTTGGGCCCTTTGGGCACGGAATGAGGCCCTGACCCCTCAAATGAACCAGGTCTATTCTGCACTCTGCATGTGGCCTTAGTTCTTTGGAGCTGTCCGCTGAAAGGGTGGTCTGTACTGGTGGATTGGTGGTTGCCAGTGCAGGTTTAAATAGGGTTACGTGGAAGGCCATGGGAATTCGTCTCCCCTAGAACTGTGGAAGAACCAGATGGATGTGACGGCATTAATACGCTCTACAACCTTATACTGCGTGGACTGATCTAACAGGGAGCCAACTTCAGTGACAGCAGGCGACGATGGAGGTGCCTAGTGGGAAGCCATACTCTCTGTCTGGCCCTCAGGGACATAGTAAACTCAACCTCTTATCCATTCTTCCATTCTCTTAATTTAGTATCTCTCCCCTTCTTTCTCCTTATCTATACGGAACATCCATTGCGACAAAACAGGAGTACTTTAACGATAAACTACCTCTAAGAACTGTGTCAATACTCCAGAAGCAGACTCTGAAATTTTGTATGGAGAGACAGTTTGAGGTCATTTTTGTTTAATTTTTCAGTCTTTATAGATTTTACTCTGTAAAAAGTATGTGCAGTAGACAGAAAATATGTAGAATTTGAAATATATTGAAGCATATTAGCATTTACCAAATCTAGCAACATTTCTAAAATGTTATCAAGTTCCTCTAAATACCATCTTTTTAAAAGTTGTTTCTCCTATATCCTATATTTAGTGTGGAATTTAACATTTTGGGTTATTTTATTTGCAGCCAATTTTTTATATTCATGTTTGTAATGTTGTTTTCCTCCCTACAGGTTATGTGCTATTTTCCAGTTTTTTAAGTTTTGCTATCTGCTACAAACATGGACCAATTATGAATGAAGTTAGCTCAACATTTTTGACCTGGACTCTCCAGGCAGTAGCCATGATCTTGATGTATAAAGGTATTACGCACCCTCCAGCCATGTACGCAGTGTTTGCCATCCTGGTCACCATGAAAATTCTACCTTTTGCAAAATTAAGTGTCATTGGTATTTTCAGGTAGGTGTGCTTGTAGAAAGCTGAACTTATTCAGAAGAATAGCATGATACTCACCAAACTTTATTTCATCCATAATGTGTTTATTTAAAAGGACATAAGTACAGTAATATGCAGGAGTTTTTTATTGCTGGAAATATATCTAAAAATAGCCAAACATATTCCATATCTGTCAATACAGTAGATTTATTTTTTAAAGGAGCATATTATTCTACTTACAGTGCATTTCCCTGTGAATTTCTTAAAATAATTGTGTACTTCTCTGTTGTTGCAAATTTGTTATTAGACTGAGTGATTGGAAGTTTATGTTATCATTGCACACCAACATCCTGTCTGTATCACATAGACATAAAGTGCTTTCCGTGATTTTTTCTCAACCTGAAGGAGTTTTATTTGTACAACACTTTTAGCATGGTAAGGCTCAGAACAATCTTAGTAGATGCCATAAAAACTGTAAGAGGTATGAAAATAAATAATTGTAAATTGGAAGGATACAAAATTATTTCATGTGTGGTAATGTTTTGAGAATCTCTTTTCCAGACTGAAACTTACATTGCTATACAGACATTATATCAATTATAGAAATATGAAACATTTCATTTTCAAGCATGGGCGAATTTTCTTTTTTTGTCTTTGACCACAGAAAGATTTGGTGTCTATTGAGGAATCCATTTGGTTGTTCCAGCCAGGAAAAAGCCCAGTATAGATTTCTAACAGAGGAAGAGTACCGGGAACAAGGTGAAATATACACCAGAACCTGCCTAGATGAACTACGAGAACACTGCAGGAAACCTGGTTACTCAGCGTGGGAGACTGTATTGAAACTCAGATCACCTCAAAGGTAAGACTGATGAGATGTACAGATCCAGCCATTCAAAAGAGTGAAGTACACTGCGTTATAACACAGTGGGTGTGGCGCAATATACCGCATGTTAATTGAAATATGATAATAGTAACAGGAAGCACCTTGTAAAACCGCCAGGTGGAGCTAATAAAGCTTAACTACTGTATGTACAGCATTTGAGCTGTTGCCAGAAAACGCAAGGTTTCGAATCCCGGTTACTGCTGAGGGACCATCTTTTTCCAATTAAGAATTTAAGTTGTATACTCTTTAAACTTTTGATAATTTTAAACTGTGTATTACAGCATGTTAATCATTAAATATTAAAAAGTCGGTATATTTTATGCTGATTGATTGCTCAGTTGGACAAAAGTATACAACTTTCCACCTTCATCATAAATATTTTAGTTATGCATAAGTATTTTATTCATCAAAGTCTTTAACTTGGTTAATTACATGGGTTCTGGTTTTAATGTGCTTGTTCTAGCATTAATAAGCTTATATTCTGTACTTCATAAAAAGTTTCTTTTCTTTCCTTTTCTAAAAATACATAGTAAGAACACCATTTACTGTTAAAAAGATAAACGCTGTAGTGATTTAATATCACTTGATAGTTATATGAATATGGAATAGTGTATCTAAGCAGCAAAAGTATCACAAGTGAACGTTTTGGAAACATTTTGATATTCATTTCTTTAAAAAAAAACTTCTATTGTCCCTGTAGTGGTAATTAGCACTGTAATGTAGCCAGCTGCACCCAGGCTGTTCAAAGCGCGATTGGAGCATTACCTTCGTTTGTTTCTCATAGAGCCGAATGCATAAAAATAGTCCACTGTTAGAGCTTATTGTGAACATGATGTGTCTCTTTCAGGATTACACCTGAATTGAGAAAATCTATATTTTGTCTTAATCCAAATGTCAGAAGCCACTAATCAGTGGAACCAGTTGGATGAATTATTATACGTGGTTTTGTGTTTAAGGATTTCTTCATGGAAATCTTTAAATTAAATGAGGAAGGGGGAAAGGGTTATTTTTTACAATTGCCAGTAATCGGGGAACAGTTTATCAACACAGTGGGCAAAATATATTTTTTTATTTTTAAACTGAAATAAAAAATAAGATACAATGACGTGTTCCTGCCTAACTCAAAAATTGCATGACTTTAAAGGCTATAAAAAACTGGTTTAGTTAAAAAACACTTTTTATGATTTTTCGTCCTCGTGATCAGCTTAGAATCTTTGTGTACGCTGTAAGATTTTAACTGTTTAATTAAACATTTAAAATACTTTAATTTCATAAAAGTTGTACTGATTTAATACCTCTTGATATTAATATTAATATAGAGTCATGTAAGCAGGTAAAATATCACAAGGGGACATTTTGGAAACATTTAACGTTCATTTTTAAAATATATATATACTATTGTCCTTATAGTGGTAATATGCAATGGACTGTCATGTCGTACACTGCACCCAGACGGTCCAAAGCCCAATCAGAGAATTACTTTGTTTCTTACATAGCCAAATATATAAAAATAGTCCACTATTATAGTTGTTGGCTGAAGTGTGAGTGTGTGTATCTGGATGAATTATTATAAATGATGGTTTCATGATTTAGGATTTCTTCACGCAATTCTTTAAGTTAAAGGCGGGAAAAGGGTTATATTTATACGTTGTGTATCACCTCTTCTTATATTTTTAAAAACAATCCAATTAAAATGCAATAAGGAATATATTATTAATAATATTATAATGAATTCTGGTTTTTGGGCTTGTGCTCTCACTACTCCTGTCCTGGTTCATCCTTCACCATATGGGCTCGAACCCGGGTCTCCTGCATCGTTCAACAGAGGTCTTGCCGGCAGAGCTACAGAAGACTTTCATAAACTATGCCCCCCGTGAAATTGTGCAAAAGAGGTTTAGTGGGCAGCATTACTCACAGTGTAGTGACCATAGAGTGTTTTAAGACACTGTACAGTAATAACAGTATAAAACAAGTATGTTTTTTAGTTCAGGTGGGTAGCTGCGTCAGCATGCGTAGGCTGCAAAGGAACAAGTAATAGGTTTATTCCATGCTGGAAAAAAAGAAGAAAGAGAACACAACGTTTCGGCCGTGGAGCCTTCTTCAGGTGTGAGAGAGACAGGGCAGTAGGCAAAGATAAAGTAGCGGGAGAACAAAGGTTGAGAGGGAGGAGGAGTGAGAGGCGGGAGCAGGGGACAGAAAGAGAGGCCAATCAAGAGGTGTGAAGTCAGAATGGGTGCAGAGAGGTGTGAAATGAAACTTCCAATGAATGGAGAAAATTTAAAAGAACAGTAATCTGTCGTTAAGGGAAGGGAGAATGTGTGATCCTAGCTGCAGAATAATTTTAGTTTCGGTGGTCTTTCTGATGTATGAGTTCGGAAAACCGTCTTTGAGAACACAGACGGAGAGATTAGAGTGGTCATGGCCGTCAGAGGTGAAATGAGAAACAATGGGCTTGGAGAGATCTTTAATCTTCACAGCCCTGACGTGTTCTCTGAAGCGGTCTCCGAGTCTCCTTCCTGTTTCCCCAATGTAGATGGCTGGGCATTTACTGCAAGAGATACAGTAAATAAGGTTGCTGGAGGTACAAGATGCTGTCTGGGTGATCCGGAATTGTCCTGAGGGGCCTTGAATGAGTGTGGTGGTGGCTGTGTACTTGCAGGTGATACAGCGAGCTCTTTTGCAAGGGAAAGTGCCTGGTGTGGATGGTTGCTGAGGGCGGTCAAGGGAGCTGTGAACAAGGAGGTTACGCAGATTAGGTGGTCGGCGATATGAGATGATATGTTTTTTAATGTTTCAATTGAATTCAATTTATTTTTATATAGCGCCTTTCACAAAAAGGTTGCCCCAAGGAGCTTAACAATACAATTGACGATACATTTTGTCAATACAGAACTGAAGACCAGAAGACACGCTGTGAAATTTTTCACAAATCACAACCTTTAAATCTGTAGGTTGCAGGTTCTGTGTCATTCACATTTTTATTTCATTATTAATATAATTTAACATTGAATATGTTATAATATATTTGTAAAATGTTAATATAGTTTACATAATATTTACTATTTTATTTTTAAAAAAGTCTTTGTTAGAAGAAAAACTTGTGCCCGAACCGGGGTTTTAAACTCAGATCACCTAGACAGAACCCCTATCGGCAAACCCGCTGTACCAACGGGTTGTTCGGAAACACAACTGAGACGAACAGCTTAATAATGTTTCTAAAGTAATCATGCGTGAATGAGTCAAATTAAACATTAAATGTGTTTACAAAGAAAGTGGATTACAGTTATACTAACAGCTATATAAATACATATATTTAGATCCTTGAATTAATATAATTATTAATTTCTTTAGATAAGCGATTCCATATTATATTCCCTATTTAGCGGATTCTAAAAAGTATGAGTTTTTTTACTGCGATAACAAGCACAAGTATTCATAGAAAAGGTTAAAACATGGAATACAGAGGGAGTTTTGAACTTTGTGAAATGAGTTTGAAATGATTAGTTGTTATTAATAAATCACTTAACGTGTTGTGATATTTAGCCAGCAGCCATATCACCCTGCAACTCACAACTGGCAACCCACTGAAGCTAAGCAGGTGTGAGCCTGGTCAGTACCTTGATGGGAGACCTCCTAGGAAAAACTAAGGTTGCTGCTGGAAGAGGTGTTAGTGGGGCCAGCAGGGGGCGCTCACCCTGCGGTCCTCGTGGGTCCTAATATCCCAGTATAGTGACGGGGACACTATGCTGTAAACAGGTGCCGTCCTTCAGATGAGACGTAAAACTGAGGTCCTGACTCTCTGTGGTCATTAAAAATCCCAGGGCGTCTCCTGATAAGAGTAGGGGTGTTACCCCGGCGTCCTGGCCAAATGTCCCATTGGCCCTTACCAATCATGGCCTCCTAATAATCCCCATCTTTGTCACTCTGTTCTCCTCCCCATTGATAGCCGATGTGGGGTGAGCGTTCTGGCGCACTATGGTTGCTGTCACATCATCCAAGTGGATGCTGTACAGTGGTGGTGGAGGAGAGTCCCTATTACCTGTAAAGCGCTTTGAGTGGAGTGTCCAGATTAAGTGTAATTATTTAGAAATACCAACAAATTCAATATAGTGTCGATAATATTTACTATTTTAGTTTTTCAAAGAAATGTTTATTTAAACAAAAACTCATGGTAAGAGCCAGGTTCGAACCCCCAGCCTCCAGCATGCAAGTCATACGCCAAAGCCATTACACCAACTTAAGCTTGACAACTTAAGCTATAGCTGAAATGGCTAGGCAAAAAGTTTCCAAGTAATCGCAGGTGAATGAGTCAATTTGATGCAGATGTTTACAAAGAAAGTGTACTACTGTAATAATTTGAGCTATATGAATATAATGATATCATTATTAATTTCTTTAGATATGCAATTCCATATTATATTCCTTATCAATCAATTTCTAAAAAGTATGCATTTCTTTACTGTGATAACGAGTGTAAGTATCCATAGAAAAGGTTAAAACATTCTAACTTTTGAAGTATATACATTTAATATAGTCAGAAGCTTTTCCAAAATAACCACAGTATGTAACTGAATGAAAGACTTTGATGCTTAAAATGTTCATGAGGAAAGTGGAATACTGGTATGTATTTTTTATTTAGACTACCAATACCAGCCATATACAGTTTACATAATATGTTTATATTTCTAAATTAATATCGTTTATGACCTTCAGACACATTATGCTCCTCTTCTTTTCATGCTCAGCTCCTAAAATTTCCCTTTAGTTGTAAAATTCCATATTAATATTTAATATTAAGCGGATATAAACATGCACAGTAAAGAGATTAAATGAAGCAATCATTTCACTAACAACCAATGCACCACGAGTGCCGCCTGTCAGTCATTTTGGCCAGCCAATCATGTACTGCGGTATAATGCTCTAAACTGTAGATCATTCTTCACAGTACAGAGTTTTACCACGCATTTTGAATGGCTGCATCTGTATGTAGTCTTTACACTTATATAGCTCTTCTCTGGATCCTCCAATCAAAGTGCTTTACAGATAGTGGTGACTTCCCTCCACCACCACCACCACCAATGTGCAGTATCCACCTGGATGATGCAAGGGCATCCATAATATGCCAGTATGCTCACCACACACCAGCTATCATTGAGGAGTAGCACAGATGAGCGCAGAGTGATGAAGCCAATGTCTTGTTTGGTGTTGGGGTAGTCAATTAAAACATTCAAACAGATTTAAAATGCAGTGCATTACGTATACAGTACATACTGTATGTCAATTACACTCAGTTCTCATTCAACACATTACAACTCAGTGTTGTAATGTTACATAATGCAACTATATTCTATTGAAACACAATGCATGTTTAAAGCATTTTTAAAGCAGCTCTTTTTTCTGATCTATCAGATTTGCTGATTTCCTCATGAGTGGCTTGCATGTTACCACAGAAGAGTTCCAGACGCATGAACATCAGTATGGCGTCGGAGGAGCCTATTTTGAGAACATGATATTCTCGGCAGGGAAAGGGAATATGCCAACTCCAGAATGGAACAGTTCTCATCTTTCAAGAGACATCAGTGAGGATGAGCTGGAGTATTATGAACCCAGTGGAAACCTTGTACAGGAGGGCCAAGTCCAGGAACCTGAAGACCTTGAGCTATTCTAATTGTTCCAGGTTACTATATACACCCTACAATTCTGTGATATTTTCTTTCTAGTGAGTTTTTCACATTTTCTGAATTTATTTTAGTTACATACCTCCCTTTAAAAGGCAACTAGCCTATTGCTAATGATGATATTTTTTTATTTTTAATCATAATTATTTAATATATTATAGCTTTGGTTATTATACATCATAGACATCTTAATTCTGTTGCAAAAAATATTGCCTGGACATCTTATTAATTAATTTACTTTCATCGTAAAGTATTGTTTATACACATAGCAGTTGTACATTTGGAATTAGCATTATAGGTATGTATATTTGAGGGATCAGAGAGGCATAATTGAACAATTGCAAAGTTGTAATTATGCAGCTTTTCTGGAGCAGTGAAGCAGTGAAGAAACGGGATAGTACAACAGACATAAGATTCTTAACAGTGACTCTGAAGCACCATATTGTTCCCCATGTGATAACCCATATTGCCAACATTTGATTAAAATTAATAAAAAAATGTAAAATAATAAAATGTTAATAATATCTTTTGAATTTTTGTATTAAAAATGTTTTCGGTGTTATTATGACTTTTGTACATCCTTATACTTTGTAGTATAGTCCCAAGTAGAGCCATCTAACTGAAAATTGATTAAGTTTCATTTCCTTTGTTGCATTGAATTCTGAATTCTGAATGAAGTTGTGTGATCAGAATACAGGGAAGACATATTTAGCAGTACAGTCGTGTCAAATTATAGTAGATGCTGCAGCACTAATGTATCCATACAGCAATCTGAGTCTTGTGTACTGTACAAGTTTCCAGAGTTCTGAGTATAGGTTTGTAGTCTTTTTTATCTGAATCAGCATTTGGTGGTCAAACAGACCATAGAATGGTGCTGTCCCAAGTCATTTACCCAATGCACACCATCCTTTAGGTACCTCTGTCTTTTTGTAATGCCTTTTTACGTTCCAAATACTAGTTACCAATTTGTTAAACTGGTGGAGTGAATAACTGGAAAGCCTTTTTTAAACTCTTCTAAAAAATGAAGATTTTATTATTATTATTATTATTATTATTATTATTAAACTGTATAGTACTACGTATTTTTACATTGTTTTTATTGCTTATATTTTCAGGTATAGAGGTATTATTTTCTTACTGGATTTGTTGACATAAAAATGTCAAACACATAGCTTACAGAAAAGATGTTAATTTATACATCAGTATTGTGCTTCTGTACACCCAGGACATCTAGTAATCCTTTTCTGATTTTGTTGTTGGTAGGGGAGAATACTCATTTAATGTACTTTAATATAAAATAAAAAACCTTAGAATACTGCTTTTAAGTGTCCAATGCCTTAAATATTTTCCAAACAAGTACAAATTGCAAATATAAACAAAAAATAGATACATAAAATGAGATATATTTGCCATCTTTAGAATTTGTCCAAACAGAAACAGATATGCACAGTGAAAATGTCTCCATAAATGACAGACTCTATGTATTGTTACAAATTGGAGGTTAGGAAAATAGAGAATTAGATATATAACTAGGCAGAATAATCAAGTAAATTAAATAATCATAACCATCAAATTGTGCCAAGAATATAGCACTTGAGCTCTTTCTCTGACACGGCTTTGGCAAAGGAGTTATAAATCAGAGGCAAATAGAGATAATGCACAACACAACATATAGGTTATTCTATTTATAAACAGGCATCTCAGGGGCCTGCGTCCTCACTGACCAGAAAAACCCCAGACTGCTACAAAGTATTTGAAATCCTAATGTCCAAATAGGCCAACGAGAGAGTGGAAAACCAGTGGTTCTCAAACTATGGTATGCGTACCACTCGTGGTACGTGGAGCGCCGCCAGGTGGTACGCCATATGACTCTGGAACTTTGTTGTGTGCACTGAAAAATCAGGACGGGTTTTCATATTTTCTATTTTAATACATGTCAAATACGCAGCCCACGTACTACGATACAGAGTGCACTAATACTTGAGTGGACACAAGAGCTACTATGTAATTCTACACCATAGCGTAGGAATGCGTGCTACGAATTTAAGTGACCAATTGTATTTAAAAAAACTTGTCTCTAGCAAATATGGAGGTAGGAGAATGTGTGTGATTTTGGAACAATGCCAATGTTGTAAACACAGGAATGCATAGAATTGCGAAATGCAATCTTGTGAGCACGGGAAAGCAAAATAGATAAAAAATATTTAAGAACTGCTCTAGGTTAATATGAGAAAAATACACAGAGCGTCTCTGTGTTTCGTTCCCATGCGCATGAAATAAAAACTTCTTTTAACTTTTGAGACGGACTCTTGAAACGGAAACGGGGAAAAATGCAAGGTAGTGGATTGCTAAAGCAGGCAAGCGCCACACTATTTTTGAAGAACCTTATTTACCGTTGGCAAAAGAGCTGACGCGCATTATGTGTGGTGAAAAAGCTGCTAAACAGCTTGACCTGCTGCCCCCTCTGAAAGACAGTCCTAGAATTATTGATATGGCGGATGATATCAAAAGTACGCTGACAGAGCGCGTAAAGATGAGCAGATGCTTTTTACTGCAATTAGATAAGTCTGTACATGTCGTCGATTTGGCCAATTTGCTCGTTTACGTTAGGTATGAGTTTGAGGGTACGTCCAATGAGGACTTTCTGTTCTGTAAGCCGCTACCAATAGGAACTACAGGAGAGCACATATTTTAGCTTCTGAATGAAGTTATCAAAGAGATAAAATGTGTCGGAGTTTGTACAGACAGTGCTAGAGCAATGACAAGCCAACACAGCAGTGTAGTTGCACGAATTAGAGAGGTTGCTCCAGAAATGAATGGACGCATTGCAACATCCACTGTGAGACCTTTGCTGTCAAGAAAATGCCTGATGATTTAAAATCTGTTAGACTCTGTTGTGAATTGTATTAAAAAAATGAATTCACATCTGCTTTGCTCAACTAAACAGGCTCACCCCTCTCACTGAAATTGTTTTTTATTATTTTTAATTGTTGTTGCTCCTGTTTTTTTTTTCTGTAAAGCGCTTTGAGAAGCCACCTTTAAAGGGGCTATATCTAATAAAGTTTATTATAATATTTATTATATGTGTATGTGTGTGGGTGCGCGCTCATGTTGTTCATTGAGATTTCCTGGGGTTCCTATGAGAAGATGACTTGTAGGTGGTACTTGGATGCTTTGGTTTGATCAGGGTTGGTACTTGGTCCAAAAAGTTTGAGAACCACTGTTCTAAACCAAACAGTAAAACCCAGAGTTAAATATTTCTCTATAAATCCAGATGCTACAAAGAAAATTGGACCCTATCTCTCCTATTTTAAAAATGCTTTCACTAACCAGGGAAGATCATTTTACATCTAAAATAATAATCATTTGTAGTATAGTGAGTAGACATCGCGGGACAACAGAACGGGAGAGTAGAAGGAGGGAATATATGGTGTAAGGGCATGATCTGTGTAGCTAATAAAATAGTTAACATAATATAAGAACGTCTCTTTATTAAGACACAACATTTATGGCGACGAGAGATGAGTGCTTGACTAACTCAAAGCGAGCAGAACACTGCAGATTTTAGTTCTCTTGCTGGAAGAAACGAACTTTTGAATTTTTGGACTGTTTGTTTAGCTTGCGCCATGAAAGATATGGCCGCCGCGCCGAGAAGTTTTGCTTATGCCCAGCTTTCTCCACCGCTTCCACTGAACCTCGGAGCTCCGGATTTGTATACGGAATACAAGATATGGATTGAGTCATACAATTGTTTTTTAAATAGCAAGTGGATCTAAAGAAGCTCTGGATGCTGTGAGACAGGCTACATTACTGCACTGTGTCGGGGCGCCCTTGCAGCGGATTTTCGCCAACCTCCCTGGAGAAAAAGGTACATATGAACAGACTGTAGCTGCCTCAGATGCTTACTTTACACCGTGGAGAAATGTGGTTTTGAATGATGAATGCAGAGCACGAACAGCAAAATGTCTACACTGTAAGAAAACAGGACATTATGCACGAGTGTGTTGAAAGAAGCCTTGGGTTGTATTTGGGCAGAGGAGCATTTTAGGACATATTTATGGGGAGGCAAGTTCACACTTCAAACGGATCATAAACCCCTCATTTACATGTTCAATCCCAAAAAGGCAACATTGTTACCACCCAGGATACAAAGACTTGGATTGAGATTACGGCCATATGATTACAAAATTGAACACATAGTAGGGAAAACCATTGTTGCAGACTCACTGTCACGTCTTCCTTTACCAGACACAGAAGACACTGGTTATGTAGACACCTATGTTGATAGAGTGCTTTCAATCAGCACTTATGAACTGCATGCACTGACACTTGAGGAACTTAAGCAAGCAACAAATGAAGATGACACATTGAAATTGTTGATGTCCAGAGTGGAAAAGGACAATGGCCTAATCCAATTCCAGAAGAACTGCAGCCATACCACAGGTGTAGGTTGGAGTTATCTACATATGATGGACTGCTTTTAAGAGGACAGAGGATTGTGTTACCGAAAACAAAAATCAGACAAGCATTGAAAATAGCACATGAGACACATCAGGGTGTGGTTCGTACAAAACAGAACCTGAGAAGCAAATTTTACTGGCCCAACATGGACAGTGATGTTGAAAGACTGGTCAGGAATTGTTTCACTTGTGTGTTGAATCAGCCATTGCAGGAGGATCAACCTCTCCAACCACTTGAATTACCACCAAGGCCTTGGACAAAATTGGGCATTCCCATTCAGAATGAATACATATTGACTGTCATAGACTATTATACTTCTTAACCTGAGGCGGTTGTTGTATCAGACATATCTTCAGCCACAGTTATTAGAGAGCTGATGAACATCTTTGCACGATTTGGTTATCCACTAGAGGTAGTAACAGATAATGGCAGGCAATTCACAGGGCAGTTGTTTGAATCATTTCTGACTAACTGTGGAATAAAGCACATCCGTGCATCACCTTACTATCCGAGAAGTAATGGCAAAATTGAAAGATTTCACAGATACCTGAAAAAGGCCTTGAGAGCAGTTGGGACAGAAGGACAAAAATGGAGAGAGGAACTCCCTGAGATTCTGCTTGCTTATAGATCAACACCCCACAGGGCATCTGGAGAAACCCCAGCTAATCTTCTCTTTGGACGTGATATCCGGACTAAACTACCAAACGTGGAAAAGAAAGAAGAAGAGCCGAGGGACATTCAAAAGACGAAAGATATCCATAGACATCATGAGGAGTACACACACAAAATGAAATTATATGCAGACCAGACACATCGAGCAAGGGATCACAACTTCAAGGTCGGTGATGTAGTGTTTGTGGCTGGCCTAGACAACGGTAAATTGGATGCCAAGTTCAAAGACACTCACTATGTGTTATTGAGAAACACCTCTTGTAACTCTTTTGAGTTAGTGAAAAATAATGAGAAATGTAAAACATCTTCGACACGCTCCTCCATTGGATCTTGAATTTGAATCTGCAGAAACAGAAAATGCTGAGAATACAGGACTTTCTGATGTG